CATGTATTTGCTACGGTATATGTACAGACACAGATCATATATGTAATTACCATATGTGCTATATATGTGGTATGTGTGTATAGCTATAGACACAGACATATTAGCTATCTATGGTTTACTTACTACAGCCCTGAAAGGCAGATAATGCAAATATTACTGTCCCCATGTTGCTGATGAGAAAACAGAGTTCATGGAAGTCAAATGACCTTTGCCCACGGTAACTGATCTCAAGTAGGAAAATGGTAAGAGCAATGGCGTTGCATCCTATCTCTACCCCTTATTTGCCTTTATAAACTTGAACAAATCACTTCTCTGGCTTTCTTCAGTTTCCTCATCTGAAAAATAAGAGGAGTGGGACCAGATGTTAAGTTTTAGAATTAGGAGTTGTACATTATTTACGACTGTACCAGCAATATTCTGTGTGTGTGTGTGTGTGTGTGTGTGTGTTCCCAAGAAAGCCAGTTTGGGAGTCAGGAAGACCTGGGTTCAAGTCTCCCCCCTTTGCCATTTAGGCATATATTGCTGTGTGACCCAAGCCCTCATTTAACCCTTCAAGTGCCTCAGATAATTCCCCAAAACTGTGAAGCTCTAGAGCTGGTGCTATCTTCATTGGTACAGGAAATTCCTTCACTGGGACTCCTCTTATCAATTCAATCACAGGTCCTGACGCCCTCCCCCCCAAAAAAAAACCCAACTTGATGTACAGCATATACTTTATAAGTGCAAAGATGGGTAGTGGCCTCCAAATCTTTTTGATCACATGCCTATCAAAAATTTCTGGATATGCACTTCCAGTATAAGTTTATCTATTTACTTTAAATTACACGCCTTTGCTTTCATACCAATAGTTATGTACACTATAAAAACGTACACAGAAAAAGAGATTAGAAAAGGATGAGATAATGATGAAATGATATCGGATCCTGGGGCACTAGGGATGCCTAAGAGTTTGTAGAACCCGCGAGGTGCCGTGCTCAGACGTCTATTTTGTGAAAGCCATTTTGGCAGCTGTATGAAGATCATGAATTGTAGTTGTCAGGGAGACTGTTGCAACAATCTAGGTGAGAGGGGATGAGGGTCAGAACTAAGGGGGAAGCTGTGTACACGGAGAGAAGGGGCCTACTTTCACGACCACCAGTGTGAACCCTAGGTACAGCCTGCCATCCTTGGTTCTAGCACTGCATGCCCCATCAGTGCATTGCGAATTAGACCTGAGGTGCCAGTCTGTATCTGAGGTCCAAGGTTCCGAAGGATGCGTTCTCTAAACAGGGGTTAGGGCTTTACGTATGTGTGCATTATGTGTTCTAATGTGCAGATCGATATTGAAATGGAAAAACAGAAACACATAAAAGTGAAAAGTGGTTGATGCTAGAATTGGGCGTCTCAATCACGGTTTTCTTACACTCCAAGCGATGACTCCCATAGTAGTGTTCCCTAGGGAGAGTTGGGGCGCTGGCCGCCCGCCTCCGCGCCCGTCTCGCGAGCGCCTCCAGACGGCCTCCAGTCCCAAGGCTACATTGTAGCCAATTACAAAGGGGCCTTTCCACCGGCGGGCTGCGGGGTCCGCGAGCAGAACCTGCTAAGCCGCGCTCCTTCCAGAAGCCTAGGAATAACGAACTAGACGCAGCTCTTAAGACCAAGGGGGGATCCGCGGGCGGCCAGGGAAAGGCGGGGGACCCAGAACGGCCGGCGTGGGTGGGCGGCGGGCTTTTGTACTGGCAGGCGTGCAGAGTGGACACCCTGAGGAAGGCTGTGGATTTCCGGCCCCAGAATTAAGGCCTTGGGCTCCCAGACCTGACCCTCGAGACCAGGGCACTCGTGGAAGTCTGGGCCTGCTTCCTCCTCCCGACCGCGCCCTGGCTCCAAGTTGCCCGCCCCCAGGCCCGCGAAACAAAGGGCTTCTGCGGAACCCGGGATCGGGGGCGGGGGGTGGGTCCATCCTTACCCGGCCCGGACAGGGCCTCCTCGTCCCCGCCGTGCGTGGCACGCGCACGCACACACAAAGGCGTGCCCTTGTACCTCCAGTCCCAGACAGACGCACGCGTGCGCACGTACACCCAGACCCAGACAGACAAAAGCGCGTGCACACGCGCACGCACGCAGCCACAAACTGAACCACACGAACGCGCGCACGCACAGACAGACCTACAAACGTGGAAGCAGCCTAAGAGAAAGGCTAGTGCGCAACTAACTCTCCCCTGATGCAGATACAGGCATAGGTGCGGTACACGCTCATATATATAATCTACACTCATAATCAATGACCCACACAGGCGTGCAGGCACGACACTCGCAGTTACACGCACGAGTGCACACGCACAGCTGCACACACCCACTGCCACAGACATTCAGCTAGCCACGCAGGCGCACATAAACACGCACAGACTGGCGTAGACACAACGAAGTTCGCCGGCCACACAATGGCGCTTTTTTTTTTTTACTGAATAAATGAGTCTTTCACCCAACACAAAACGTGGAGACAGGTGGGGGCTCCCTCCCTCTCACTGATGCACGGTAGTGTGTGGGTGATCATTAAAGTCCTCGACCACAGCTCTCCACCCCCGGATAGGACTGGAGAGAGGGGAGGAGGGGGAGGCATCCCAAGCCACAGCCACCACCACCCCCTTCCGTGGTCCTATGTGGAGTGGGGTTTAATCCTGGACAAGGGGGCTCGCCAGGCCTGGGATTTTATGCAGCCGGGGCTCGGGGCCCCCACTCAGCCTGTCTGCGCAGTAAATTGCAGTCTTTTTGTGGACGTGGTTGTTCACACTCCTTCTCCTCCCCCCGCCCCTTTTTGTTGCGGTTGCTATGGGTTACCAGGGCGGTTGCCATGGGTTACGGGACCAAGGCCGGCTGCCTGGTTACCTGACAAACAGTCCCAGCAGCCCGAGCCTGCTGGAGACTGTGCATACTGCAAGCCAAGGCTGGGGAGGAGGGGAGGACGCGCGCGTGCGGGGCACACAGAGAAACACGCAGAGAGAGCGCGTGAGCGTGTGCGCAGGCCACTGAGACAGACCCTCGCACACAGTCAGTGTGTGTTTGCAGCTTCAGGAAAACTACTGCAAGTGGGTGGGGGGGAGCAATAAAGAAGGCCCGGAGGTAAGAAGATAGCCAGAGCGCTGCTTGAGAAGCTGCCCGGCCTCTGGCTGCAGAGCCAGGGCGTTGGCGAGGGGGACCAAGGAGGGAGGAGGGGAGCTGTCTCTCGAGCTCGCCACCGAGAGTGTCCAGACACAAGAGTGTAAAGGCACGGGTAAATGGGGCTTCGTCCTGGGGGTGTTTTTCCTTTTTCCGATATAGTCCATGGTTCAGAAGGCGTAGGAATTTTGCAGAAAAAGAAAAGGGTCGTGGACGAGCAGAATGTAAACTGCTAAATCAGTTCTGTCCAGTGAGTGCACTTGTCAGGACAATGAGGGAGGAAAGTTTCCTGCAAGAAAAAGAAGCTCCAGAGTAGGGTCTGACTTCAGGGGACAGTGGTGCCTTGGGGCTGTCCTTCTGCAGGAGGGACCCAGAATTGTAAACACTGGCTCTTTTTTTTTTTTAAGGCAGCGTTGCTTACCTTATTTACATATTCTTCAGATTCTCATATCCATCATACGAACTGTAACCATTTCTTGTGAGAGGTTTTTTTTGGGGGGAGCGTCATTGGAGGGACAGCGGTGCTTTGTAAAGTTGTCGCTAAAAACTTTAATTCCATGCAGCATAGAGGGTTTTTTTTCATCTAAAAACTTTATTCCAGCCCCTCTACACCATAAAACCAGCAAACAACAATTTTTTTTTCCTGGAAAAAAAATATTTCCACCCCGGATCAGGGTGAAAAGGGTGCATTGTGTTCTAAATGTAGCAACAAAATATCTTGAAATGTTAAGGATGTTCAGTTAGAAAGAGTAAGGAGCAAGGGGTTTGGGGGGAGACAGATATGGGGGAGCATTTTTGTCTTAAATATTTAAAGGCCTATCTTGCATACACCATTGTGGCTCAAGGGCTGAAAATGTCCTTGTGGCTTGACGATGGGGAATCTTCAGGGAGCTAAAGAAGATTATTTCCAAATAAAACTAAAATGGTTGTTGAATATACTTCCAGAATTGGGACTAAATTCATCCTTTTTTATTTATAAGAACTGCTAAGGAAATTTGCCTCTTCTCTTTTCCAAATACATGTTTGTATTTAATTATGCAATAAAATGTGAATTAGTCTTGGAGAAAACTGCCACGCTGGCAAAACCTTTCTCAACGGACGTTGCTTAGAAATGCTTGTGAGCTTAAAAATACCAAGTTACTTCCGTGGAGCACTGTCCTTTTGGTAGCAATTTTAAAAGCATAACATTTAAAAAATATATTAATTATAATCCTAAATGTAGGACTTTTGAATAGCATAACAGGTCTTTGAATTTCGTGGTGGAAACCTTCAAGTTCCACATAAACCAATTAAAAGGAAGGGTGAGGAGAGGTAGGGAAGTATTGCCTTTAAAAAAAAATCCCAAATATCTAAGTTAATAAGAGCCTAGGAACGACTACTCCCAGCAAACCATAAAACGTTATCAAGTATTTGACATTTGCTTTTTTTATATTTATTTTTTAAATAAAAAAATTTAAATAAAAATCACTGAATGGCACTTACTCGCCATGAGTTACCCTAAGTGTTTTTGCCTCCATGGAAAGGTTTATATGGAATCAATCCAGGTAAGTAAGAATGCCAACAAAGATTTGAACAAAGCATGGAAATGGGGGTGGGGGGGGAGAGGTTTAGTTCAACAGAGCAGCTATGTCACATCCAAATTCATGACACTGGCAGGAAATAACTTATTTAGTCGACCTGTGTTTGGAAATCAAGACAACCAAACCAAAAATAACACCCCCAAACTTTAACCGTAAAACAACCATTTGGGAAAACTAAATTCAATTTGCCAGCATTCTTTAGGTGATTTTAGAAATAAAGATCTCAGTGAAAAAAAATGAATGTTTTTTTGTTTGTTTCTCAGAAATAAACCAAACAGGCCAGACTAGATTTCTTCACGTTTAATTTAGAAACAAAAATCCACTGAATCTTACAGGACAAATTACAAGGTAGACATTTTGATATTTATGTTACAAGATCTAAAAATAACAGTAAAATTTATGGCTGATCACGTTTTCTAAAAATATTCCAAAAATGAAATAGTGATTGTAAATTCAAATATATATTGCTAAGAAAAATAAATAAATCTAATACCTAGATGGCAAGCCACCCCCTCCTTCTTCCCTTACCCCCACCGTTACCACGGTGATTAGAAAAGCTCTTAAATCTTGGGGGAGGGGGTTCCCCTGTTTTCAATTAATGGCTCTCCCATGATGCAGTAACAGGCCTCACATACTAAATCAAGATCCTAAGCAAAATCTAATAAGAGTTTAGAGCAAACAAGAAAGCAAGACAGCAAAATTAAGAGAATAATTCTTGTCTTACGTTTTTTGTTTTGTGTTGTTATTTCAGCACAATCCTTTGACCTCTATTAGGAGCTTATTAATAATGGAATGGCAAAAAAACTCCGAAAATTAACTGCCTTTTGTAACCATCTTCCCCCAGCCTCCAGGAGGAAAAGCTAAGAGAAGCAACAAGTTACCTCCATTTCTTTGTAAATATCTTCCTGCCGGTTTCTCAGAAGGGAAACCGATTACTTTGTGCAACTGGACAAGGAAGAAATTTGGATAATTATCTTATTAAAGTGCTATGTCAACAGAAAGTTATCTAAGGGCATATTTTACTAGACTGCAACATTTCTCAAGTGTAGCCTTAAAGGGGGTAAGGGAATCGATACTTTTTTTTTTAATGCATAATCAGTTAGTTAATCTTATTTCCTAAGCTAGCAGAATACTTTTTGGTAAACATCATCTTTAGTCTTGTTTTTAAGACCTGTCTTTCCATTTAATGAAGAAGTTAGTAACAACCCTTAGAAATACTGAAAAATATCAAGTGAAGAAATGACACATTTTGAAAGAAAATAAATGAATCTCTTATCTGCCAAATGCATGACAAAAGCAAGGCCGAGGATCCCCAAATCTGAGGCTTAGGCTGATCCTTGATTGTGAAGATGTTTTGCTAAGTCTGAAGGGACATTAATTGCCATATTTATTTGAATTTGCACTCTTGAGTAAAAAAAATTTTAATACTGGTCTGTGTTCCTAAGCTGTATGTTCCATCTGTGTGCACAATAAATCTAGCTGGTACTGAGTCAGCCACACACTCACACCAACATCCCAGTTTTTCCCTGTATAGGGGATGGAGCCACAAGGTATCAGCAAATCTTGGTGATCTACTGCAACGGGGGATGGTCTTTGCTCGAATAGGGCCTGCAAGATCCTGTGACAGGTTTCAAAAGTCTGTTTGAAGTGACATGTTAATGTAGGGGAAATGCAATATCCTGCTTTTCAACTGTGTTTATATACCAAGTGTATTTTTAATTGAACAAAATCAAAGGTTTTACATAGCATATACAAGTTTAAATTCACACCTTTACATTAACATAAATCATTTCCTATTGGAGCAGGAGCTGATTCATCAATCATTTTTATCCTGAAAATTCAGTATTAGGCATTTTACTGACTCATAGCCAAGAGAGTTTTCCTTCTCCTCTGCCTCGACCAAAATAAGACAACATAAAATCCTGAACTGGGAACCATTAATGAACTTCAAAAAAAAAGGGGGGGGGCAACAGCTTTGAGAACACACCACCAATCACGTCTCCTTGACAGAAGTGCTTTATGTAGGGAGGTACTATTGTGAACCAACCCTGTCCTTATGACATGGGCATAATTTCCTATTTCTAAGATAGTAACGTGAAGATAATTTTTCAGGATTCTTGAAGAGTGGGGTTTGTTTTACATCCGTGTGGACTGCTGTCTTTACAACTGTGACCAAGCCCGGAGGATGAACTGCAAAAAAAAAAAAAGAGAGAGAAAAAAAATAATAAAAAGAGGAAATTGGTTTTCACAACACACTCAAAGGCTGAGTAACAGAGGAGAACTTTAATTATCTCCAGTCACAAAGAGAGACAGGAAATTTGGACTTTTAATTAGCCATTTGGAGTGCAGTTGGATATTTTTTTAGCTAGATAATTTAAACGCGAATAATTCAAGTCTGACTAAATGAAATTCACATAATCAGAATGCAGATAATTGAATTTCTACTGCATTCATTAATTCAGTGTGGAGGTGTGTGTGAAGACTTCTATGATGAGCTGTCACAGCTCAATAAAATCTCAGTCAATTACTTTTTTCATTATCTTAGTATTACATCAACAAAAAAGTGAAGAGTGTGTGTCTGTACACAAATATGTGGAATGTAAATACATATACACATATATGAAAAAAATGAATGTAACAAAGTACCTTTCTGAGCCGTACTCTATAGAATTGTCTTTTTTCCCCCCCTCATCATCTTCTTCGGGAAAACGTCTGTTTGAGGAAGCAAACTTATGAATTGCTTCAGCAACAGAATATCTTGTCTGTCCAGAAACACAGGCCTCAATATCTTCAGAACTTAAGTGACTCTGTAAGAAGAGGTGAAGTCTGCTGTCCGAGAGCAAAAGGGCATTTTGTAGGATCCTATTTAAAAATACAGACATACGTAAGGTTGGGAGACTGCAAAGGATGACTGTGTGGCCTGAAAAAGAAAAACATTTTTTAAAATATCATGAGAAAGATCACATCAACTAGACCTACAATTAAGGTAGACACCTATTAAGGTGATGTTAGCATATGTTAACTTTTATTAAATTATTTGGAATTTTAGGTGAGTAAAAACATGAAGCTAATAGAGAAAGACATCTGTTATAAGAATAACTCCAAGGGCATTTCTGCAATTTACCCATCTGCCATGGCTGTGCAGAGCAATTACAGAAATGTTTTGCTTATATAATCATAGAAATTTATTCTCCTTTAAAGAAGTTTTTCAATGGCTAACCACTAACTCAGCTCAGTGATCTTTACTGGTTAGACTGTACTGAGACATCAAGTTTCTCAAGGACGCTTAGTTTAAAACAAATACATGTGAATAATGGGATACCTTAAGTTTAGACATGTTTTACAAATTTGCTTTGACTTATAAGATGTATATGCTTAGATATGGACATATGAAGTCTGGCTTAAGTAAGATTTTTTTTAATAATCCTAAATCTGAATTTAACATTTCTCCCATATCTTTACCTGCATCAGGATTTGGGTTGTTAGAATCAGCAACCTAATTTAAGAATTATTTCTTTTCATTAAGCATGTGGCTAGAATCTGAGGCACCTGGGGTGTCTGTGAAGTTAAACCTCTTACGTTACAGCAAGATTTGTCCAAAGATATGACCAAAGATTCTAACTCTCGTATCACAATTATGTCTTGGGGACATTACTACATACATACTAAATTCCAGCCGATGAGTAACCATGGATATATTGTAATGGAGGATCTTCTGTTTAGGAAACACGCTTCCTCTGATTCGACAATTCATGTAAACCTAAACACTATCACCTCTTACCCAAGCCCAGGAAGGTCTGGGTTTGATCTTTGATGCATTGTTCAATGATAGGTGAATTTCTTGTAACTGACATAACACAGGAGCTTGCAACAACAACTTTAAGTGGCCAGAATTAGCGCTGTCCAAAATCCAAAGACAGGCTTGTGGAATTACGGAACTTTACAGCCAGCTCTGTGGAATACAGGTTCTTCCCCATCAAACAAAATGGACCTGATTTTTTCTGGTTTTGGAGACTTGACTACATGAGGAGTGTGCATATGGGGTTTATTTTTATCTCCTTAAAAATCTAGGGTTATCAATATGATGGAAAGACTCCATTTATTTAGGCTCATATATATGATATAGATAGATAGAGATGGCTATATATAGCTCAAAATGAGATAGCCTGGATCAAATGAGATAATAATTGTTAAGCTTTTAGAACAGTGCCTGGCACATAGTAAGTGCTATATAAATGTTAGCTAATACGCCTAGACGTATGTACATTTGTATTATATACAGAAGAATATTTTTTCTTTTGAAGATGCACTTTGAGCCTTTGCATCCTGTGAGGAATTGGTATTTGCACATGTCTGCATGTGTGTTCATATGTGTATGTGTGTCGATGTGAGTGTGTTTAATTATACATATTATATGTACACAAGCATGAATGTGTATGTGTACAGGTATATAAATTGTGTGGTTATGCATACAGACAGGTGAGAATGTGACTCTCAGTATAGAGACTGTGATAAAATGCATAGACTGAAAATGGGCATTTGTGCCCAGACACATGAATATTCGTCCGTACGTGTGTCAATGTGTCTACACCGATCCCAGTACCTAGTACATTAACATATTTTGTGTATATGTGTACACATGTATACAATGTATTTCTTTAATATTGTGCTTTGCTAAGTGCTTGTATCTTTGAAGGACATGGCATGTACATTTATATTTATGTGAACACATATGTGAACATACTTAGCAAAGCATTGCATCAAACAAAAAAAAATCACACACACACACACATAGAGATTTCCTCCACAGACAAAATAGACCGAGGTTTCCTTTTCCAGCCTGGTCCTAAAAGAATTTCTAAACAGCACAAGTTTTGGGCCACCCAAAGATGGCTAAAGGGTTGATATTTTTTAAATGTGATATTTCCAAGCCAGAAGTCTAAATCATTCCCCTTTGCCTTGCCCCCCCACGCACCCCCCCAAAAAAACCCTAATGTGCTCATTCCATGAAAAAACGGCACACAACACTCAATTCCAGCCACTATCCTCAGTTTGACCCCACTCAGAAAGTTTGCTTTCTGCATTTGCAAATGACTCTCATGCATTAAATATTTCCAGTGAGGAGGAGCTCGGTAAGGACCCCGCCCATCGCAATAAACTTTTCTGCGCTGGACGTGGGGGGAGGGTCGCAGATGGGGGTTGAGGGTACAGTTTCACCCGGGGCTTCCTGCCCCTTACCTTCAGCCCCTTCCTGCCCGCCAGCCTGGGGATAAGTAACTCTTCCTGAGATTGAACTTAACTGCTTTGTTGCTGTGGAAATGAATTTTATTTTCTTTATAAAATAATGGGCAATCTTTAAAATTGATTTCCGACGGTTTGAGGCATTACACCACAGAAGTAATGAGCACTAATGTCAATGATATCGGACACAAATTCATTTTGGCTTTATTTCATGTCTAAAGCAATTCGCCCAAGCCTTGAACTGCTCAAGCGCCGTTATTAACTTGCGAGCAAGCTAACACATGGGAGCAGCTAACGAACGTGGTAAGAGCCAGCCTGAGCCGAACCTCAAGGCTACTGGCCCTCTTCTCCGGCTATAATTCAATTTCCAATTTTACTTTACATTGGACTCATTAGTCCAGAGTTTTCTTTCCTGCTTAATGGCGCCACCTGGAGGGCACACCGGCGAGGCGCCGGAGGGCTCCAGCCGCAGCCTCCAAGGCTGAGGCCGGGCCGGGTGGGGCGGGGCCAGGCGGGGCCAGGCGGGGCCGGGCGGGAGGAAAGATGCTAGAACCCCCCTGAGGGCACTTTTCCGAAGCAGCTGCATCCCGGGCCTTCTGAAGGGGTTTCATTTTCTGGCCACTAAGCTGGCTTTGGAGAACACGCTGCCAGTCCTGGAGTGCTGGAACATGTTTTTAAATTTAAAAAAAAAAAACAGGCTTCCTTTCATTTTTGTGGGAGCAGCGGAAAAAAATAATCCTGCAGAGGAATTACTAAGGAAAAGGAAATGGGCATTCACAGTGGTCTAGCGCACTTCACTATAGCTCACCCCTCCCTGTCATGCTTCTCTTAATTTGGACATGCTGCCTTTCAGATGCTCCATCATTCCCCCGTCTTATATTTACCATACTTTCCCTAAACCAATCGGGATCCGATCCAGAGAACCTAACACGTGCCATATACAGTGCTGGGGATACAAAAACAAAATGATCCCGTGGAAAGGGTCCTGGTTTTGGAATTCAGAAGGTCTAGGATCAAATCCTACCCATTACAACCTTCCTGACCGTCCCTTCTCTGCCTCAGTTCCATCATCTATAAGATGAACAGGTTGGACTAGAAAGCCTCTGGGGTCCCTTCCAGCTCTAGCACTATGAAACTATTTAAAAAACTGGCTTCAAGGAACTAACATTCCCCTGGGGCTAGAGGTAGGGCGCAAAGAGAATAGATACACCATGTCAAGTATGATCATCAGTAAGTGTGATCATTCATGGGTGCTCCATGCTGAGGATGCAAGGACAAAATGCAAAACTGCCTGCCCTCAAGCAGCCTACATTCTCGCAGGTGGAAGAAAGGCCTACAGCCTGTAAACAGAGACGTGAACATGTGATCTTTTGGGGAGGCAGAAAGGAGCAACCACCAATGGGGGTGACTCAAGTTTTCCCATAAGAAGTGACCCACGACTGGGGGTGATGAATGACACTAGACAGCCTCAGAAAAACTGAAAAGTTGTAAAACACTTCACGTTTGATGGGGACTCTAAACAAATCTAATATAAAAGACTGACGCCTCAAACAAGTCTCGAATCTCCAATGGAATAGGGATTTTAAACAAACAATGGCTATTCTAAATAAATCTGCCTCACAAAATACATTTACAATTTAATACTGAGTCAGCACTTTTACAGAAAGAAGGAACAAAAAGGAAGGCTTGACTCAGCATCCAAAGTCTTCCTTTTGAATGGCTCTCTGGGAGAGAGGGACGCTGGGAAATGCAGGTGATGTTAAAACAGAAGACACACAAAACATTTAAGTCACTCCTTTGGCTTCACAAACTGAAGCTGTACAGAGACAAAGCATTTCCCCCTTTACACTGGACAGTCCAAAATCTGGCTTCCCTCACTGTGATTTTATTAGGTGCATTATACACACACAATTCTAATAGAAAGCACCGATGGGCTGCACCAATCTGTTCTCACGTTGCCTCATGATTTCCAGTGTCTCTTGGAACCTGGCCTAATAGCAGCTGCCTTTTTGGACAAGGGGGAAGGTTAACTGTTGGATTTAGGCTGTCTAAAAAACAACAAATTGACTGTCTGTTTGCATGCAGCCATTTGAGAAAGAAAGCAAACTTGGTCAGAATCACTGAAGACATCCATGATCTGTGTTCTGGTGCCCTCTACTGAACACAGACTTCCGACAGGAAAGGGGAGGATGTTTTCTCAGGGCCTTCTGAATCAAGCAGGTGAAATGAGCATGGCGGCCAACATTCATGAATGGGAAGATGTGCTAGCTGGCGCAGATTCAACCAGTGAGCTCCCTACCAGCTTCAAATGTATGATGCTATTCATCTACATAAACTAAGAGAAATTTTTAAACAGGAAAACCAGATGCCAAGGTTAGGAAAGGTTGGCAGTAGATGCCAGCTCACTACTTCAGCCCTGCCTCTCTCCTTTTGTCTCCCCTTATCAGCAAGTCACCTAACGTCTCTGACTTTCAGTATCCTCCTCTGTGAAGTAGAGGTAATAATAACTGCACCTAGCAAATGACACCAGACATTCAAATTAGCCAGTGAGGTGGGACAGTGGGTAGAGACAGCACTAGAGCTGGAATCAGAAAGACCTGAGTTCAAATCCAGCCTCAGACAGTTATTAGCAGTGTGACCCTGGGTGAGTCATTTCACCACCTCCTGCCTCAGTTTCTTCATCAGCTAAACAGAGATAACAATAGCACCTAATTCCAGGGTTATTGTGAAGATTCAATGAGATCACATCTGCAATGCACTATGCAATCTTTGGAGTACTATCTATAAATGGTAGCTATTCTATCATGCATGTAAAGTGCTTTGCAAAAACATTTGCATCAAACTAGTATTATTACTACTAGAAAAATACAGCAAGCTAAGGCCCTAGGAGCAGACTTTTTGCAAATACACCCCTTACTGTTTAATTCTGTAACTTTCCCATCATATAAATAATAGAGCAAAATCTATTTTACATTTAATCAGTAGAAGGAAAAAAACATGCCATCCTACACAAGTTATACATGTGGGGCACAAGAATTTTTACTTAAGACATATGAACCCAACAACTAATCACATTGGAGAAATGTAGGAATGACAGCCACTGCTGTTCGTATAGCATTTTAAGGTCTGCCAAAATCCTGGGAATCAGCTACTGAGTGGACATAATTGTCCCCATTTTACAGATGGGGAAACTGAGGCTTGCAAGGTGGCTTTCCCAGACAGGCAGTGTGGGACTCAAATCTAGGTAGTGCCCTTTTTACTCTACTGGAATGATTACAACAGATTTTCAAATAATGTCATTATCATAATTTAATAATTATTCATTAGATTAATAATTTAATAATAATTTTAATACTTCTGGCTTTCATTAGGAGGTGCTTGTGGTTTTGCATCTTCTATAGGTCTCTACGGAGACCCATTTGGGAGGGTGACGATGGAGCAGAGAGGGCCACACTTGGAATTCTGACCCTTAGGGGCTGTGCGACTGTGGTAAGACTGAGGTTTCAGTTTCCTCATCTGTGAAATGGGAATCATGTTGTGAGGAAACCCTACCTAACAGGGGTGACATGAACCTCAAATGACAAAAAGCGTGTAAAACATTGTGTAAACCATAACTCACTTATTTGCAAAGGCCAGCTGCTACTACTATTATCATTATTATTAGACCTGTACAGCTCTGAAGTGTACTTTGTTTCAAAGATGCCTTGAATGTAGCAATGTAGCAGGAATGAGCTTCCTCCAGAATGGCCTTTTGAATACCAATCATTTGAGGAAGATGGAATACTATCTAACGCTAATGCTTTCAGTTTGCAGCTTGGAAAATCGACATTTTTAAAAACAGATCCATAAGCACAGTAGATTTTACATTTCAATGCACTTCATAATAACATATATTTGCCCCCATCAGTGTTCTGTGCACACCAGCCATGAAAATGACTGCATTTTGTGCTGCGCCCATGTTCTAACGACTTCTCTGAATACATATCTTTTCCCCTGAGTTGCCTGTAAGCTCCTGGAGGGCGGGAGAAGTTCCTTTTATCTCTCTATCCTCAGCTCACCATTCAGTGCACAGAATAGGAGCTTAATAAATTTTTGTTGAACTAAGACTTGTAATTGCACTGATGTGGGGATGGTGAACACCTTCCCCCTCTCTGACCTGCAAAAGCCAATTCCTTCACTTGGACAGATCTACTGAGGTCAGGGTGTGGTCCCTGACCCAAACCCCATGCCAAGGCCTCAGGGGAGGACCCAAACAGACTTCTGCTGACCCCTGACCTCCCAACAGACCAACCAAGGAGAAGCAGCTCCGGCCAGCCCCCACCCCCACCCCAGAGGGCACATAAGCTCTAGTCAGCCCCTTGCCCAGCCCTGACCTGGGAAAGCCAATGATGGGTACATGGCTCCTGTTCAGAAGAAGAGCAGGGTCTTTAAGGAAAGACCTACAGCAGTGTGGTAACCCTGAAGACTACATCTGGAGGCCCCAGACTCAAATGGAGGGGAGAAGGGATAGGAAGGCCTCAAGGAACACAAAATGCATCCAGAAAAGTAAATACACCTTACCTACATAAAAGCAAAGTAATTTTCATGGGGAGGAGACAAAACACTGATGGGGTAGGGGACTCATGTTCTTATGAGGTGCATTAAAATGTGGGGAAGGGGAGTGGGGGAGGGGCCTGGGAAGGCTCCCAAAGATCTCTTCTTTGTCAAGCCAAGGGCTGCTCTAAAGGACACTGATGGTGAGGGCTTCCAGAGACTCAGCCTGGTGACTGTCTGTCTGTGACTTGCTCCTCTGGTCCCCTCTCTTCCTTACATCTTCCCTCATTTCCTCTCCTTTTTTCTCTCCCCAATTTCCCTCTATTCATCTATCATTTGGGTGTGTCCTGCACTAGGGGCTGGATCTCCACCCCCCTCAGCTTGTATAAAACCAGAGTGTGACCCAGACTCGGTGTGAAGCGTCGTTCAGCTCTGTTTGTTTTAGGAAAGGCAGGATGGTCCAGTAGACAGAGAGTCGGCAAGACCAGGGGTTCAGGTCCTCCCTCTGACACATCCTGGCTGCTCCCCCGGCCAAAGAGGAGCATTGCAACCCTCCTCTCCCGATGCCCAGAGAAGTCAGGGCAGACTGGAGCTGGCTGGAGCCAACCCTAAATTCTAAGCCATTCTATTTCCCCGGCGGGTGTGGAGGCCTGCAGCGTCTCTCCCCAGTGAAGGCAGCCCTGGATTGCTGCTCTCACTCTCAAGGCCTGCAGGAGCTGGGGCCTGCTCCTCTGGCTCTGCGGAAGCACGTGACCCAGGCTGCCTGGGCAGTTTTCCATGACGAAAAGCCTCAGAAAGGGAAAAAGAAAACCAGAGCACCCCCAAGGTGTCGTGCATCTGGACCACCACTGGGTGGCGCTCCAATACAGGACATGGATAGACTTTTTTTTTTTTTTTACAGGTTCGGAAAGAGAAATCGGTATCTGAGCTGCAAGGGACCTCAGACCTAGAACCTGAATGGGAACTCAAACCTGACAAAGGAGTGTCATCCCACCCTGCCCTCCAAGGAGGGGAACTGCAGTAAACCCACCTTACATTTGTATGACCATCCCCCTTTGAAAACGCACCCACCATCAATACAATCATCATTTATTAATCTCCCCAAAGGTCCCCACCCCACGGCTAGGCACTGAGGCTGCAAAGGCCAAGATCAAAGAGCTTAGACCGGGGAGGCAGTTCGGGAGAGGCTGAGTTCAAATCCCACTGTGACACTGTGGGCTTGTGGCTTAGCCTCAGTTTCCTCATCTGTAAAAAAAGATCCCTGCACTAGACAGCTTCTTGGGTCCCTTTCAGTTCTAAATCTACGTGACCCTGATTTCTAGCTTGACTCCCTGGAGACTTTGGGGGATTTCTTGGTAAAGCTCCTACTGGAGAAAGCAACATGTCCACAGAGAAGTATATACGTATTGCTGAGAGCTATTCGAGAGACTTTCAATTCAACTTGACAAGAAGCACCTACTATGAACCATGCACAGTGCTCAGAGCTGGGGACACACACACACACACACACACACACACACACACACACACACACACACACACACTTACTTTCTCAGAAATTCTTCCAGGCCTTGACGTCGCTGGTCAACATGCTGCTGATTATTCATGTTGAAAAACAGGTTTTTAGAAGGAAGTTCAGGAAGCTGTCTAATAATAAAGAAAAGGGGAAGGAAAAAAATCCCTCTCTTAGTAAACCCAAATGAAGTAATCTTGTAATCAAGCTGCTTTCGCCAACACACAGTGAAGGAACACAAGGTAGGGCAGGGGGGAAATCACAGCTTTTCATCTTCATGTGGAATGTAAATAAATGGACCTGGAGGAAAAAGAAACTACTTATTCACTGCCAGTGATAAGCAAGAAGCCGGAAAAGCCCAGAGGAGTCTTTTCAAAGTTGCCGACTTAGACGCAGCAATGAAAGAAATGTGGGGTTTGACTCATTATCTTGGGGGAAAATATGAAATTCAGTGATCCAGCCAGCATTTCCTCCTATGTGCGAGGCACCTGCCAAGGACCAGAGATACAAAGACAAGTGAAAACAGTCCCTGCTTTCATGGTTCTCATGCTCTACTGGGGAGGTGGGAGAGAGATGTAAGAATATACTAATAAGTAAATAGAGTCTAATTGTGAGGATAACAGGGTGGGGGTGGGCCAGCCCAGGAAAAGCTTCCCTTTGGAGGTGGGACCAGGAGGGGCTTCGGAAGGAATGGAGGACGGCCCTGGGCAAAGGCCTGTGGAATTCTGGGAGCATCCAGGGGCCTCACCTGCCCAGAATGGGGAAGAATGTGAAATAAGTTGGAAACATTGGCTGAAACCAGACGGTGAGGGGCTTTAAATGTCAAGCTGTAGACAGCATATCCTATTCCAGAGGTGATGCTCGATGGGCAGGGGAGTGACCTGGTAACAACTATCCTGACAAAGATGAATTCTGCAGAGACTATCTTGGAGAGGCAAAGGCTGATCAATCATCATTTGCTAAGGGCCTCCTAGGGCAGCTAGATGGCACAGTGGTTGGAGTACCAGGCCTGGAGTCAAAAAAATCTGAGTTCAAATATAACCCCAGACACTTACTAGCTATGTGACCTTGGGCAAGTCACTTCATCCTGCTTGCCTCAGTTTCCTCATCTGTAAAATGAGCTGGAGAAGGAAGTGGCAAACTGCTCCAGTATCTCTGGGGTCATGAAGAGTGGGACGTGACTGAAATGACTGAACAACAAAAAGGCCTGCTACGTGCGGGACACTGTGCCAAGGACTGAGGATACGAAAAGCCACCAGGACAGTCCCGGCCTTTCAGGGGCTCACGGTATAACGAGGGACAGAGACGACCTGCGAGCCAACATACAGAAGGCAAGCTACCACCGGATAAAGAGGAGATAATTAACCAAGGGTTGGGAAGGACCTGCGTGGGGAGCCCATGAGAGGTGATCACAGCCGCCCGGGGGAGGTGCTGATGGTCACAACGGGGCGATTGAGGCCGTGGGAGTGCAGAGAACGGACCAGACAGAGGACACGGTTAGCAAAGAGGCGCCCAGGGGCCGAGGGCTGCAGTCTGGGGGCAGCCCCGATGCGGCGCCCACGGAGGAGGTCCAGGTGGAAGGGGACCGTCGCCAAAAGTCAGCCGGAGGGCTCGAGGGGCCTGGACGAGCTTTCCGGATCTCTGCACAAAACCACTTACATCAGCAGCGCGTTGCTCTGCAGGCGCTGTCGGAGCCACACAAATTCCCGAAACCGCCTCCTGACGCACGAGGTTTTCATTGTAAAACACATGCTGTTGGTCTAGGGAAAGGAAACGAAAAACGGTCAGCCTGGTCAGCTTGAAATGAATTCTTTGCTTCAGGTGAAGCGTCCGCGAGGAGACCAATGCTGAAAAATATGCTCAAGTCAGCAAACACCTAGTAAGTGCCTAGTAGGGACCGGGCACTGGGGATACGGAGGCAAAAAGCTGGCCCCTGCCATCAAGGAGCTTCCATTCTAGCAGGGGAGAGGACATGCAAACAACTCTGTACAAACACAAGATCAACTGAAGACGTACCCCTTGAAGGGAAGGCACCAAGGTTAGGGAAGACCAGCAAAGGGAGGAGGAAAGGGAGCAAGCATTTATTAAGTGCTTACTGTGTGCCAGGCACTGTGCTAAGCACTGGGGACATAAAGAAAAGCTTCCCCACTCTAGAACCCTGTGAAGGCTTTTCCTTTGATCTAGAACCCTGTGACGTGCTCCCTTTTGCTCTGGAACCCTGTGGGGTTGCCGATCCCGTACTCTAGAACCCTGGGCTTTCCTGCTCTAGAACCCTGTAAAGTGCTTCCCCTGCTTTAGAGTCTTGTGATTAACAATCCTTCACAAAGGCCAAGAGGGCTTTGTTCAAGAGAGACGGGCCCTTCCCATCAGGAGAGATGGCTGTCTTTCTACCTGTCAGCTCTGTAACCTTGGGCAAGTCTCATTCCATCTGAGCCTCAGTCTCTTCATCTGAAATGAGCAGCTAGGCCCTACAGCCTCTAAGGGCTTTTCCAGCTCTAAACCCTCTGAACCCTGGGCCAAAGAAGAGATATAAGAGTGTGAAAGTGCCTTCAGAGGAATAAGAAAGGGCTAAGTTAGTTCAGAGGAAGGAGAAATCACTCCAGGTTGGGGCAGTCAGCGAGAGGGGCAGCTAGGTAACCTTGTGGACAAGCACCAAGCCTGGAATCAGGAAGACCTGAATTCAAATCCTGCCTCAGATACTGGCTAGCTGTGTGACCCTGGGAAAGCCTCATGACTTCTGTCTGCCTCAGTTTTCTCACTTTTAAAATGGGTACAGTTAATAGCAACTACCTATAAAGTGCTTAGCATAATGCCTGGTATATAATAAATACTTTTGTTTTTGTTCAATTGTTTCAGTCATGTCCAACTCTTCAGGACCCCATTTGGGATTTTCTTGGCAGAGATACTGGAGTGGTTTGCCATTTCCTTCCGTAGCTCATTCTACAGATGAGGAAACTAAGGCAAATAGGGTTAAGTGACTTGCCCAGGGTTCCACAGCTAGTATGCCTCTGAGGCTGGATTTGAACTCAGGTCTTCCTGACTCCAGGCCTGGCATTCTAGCTTCTGGGCTGGGCCACCTAGCTGCCCCCAAAAAGTCCTTTATAAATGCTTATTCCTTTTCCCATTCCCTACTCTGAAAGAGAAGCAACCACTCAGGAATTTGGCAACATCTGGGAGTCAGCCTCATTGTACAGATGAGGAAACTGAGGCAAACAAGGTTAAGTGACTTGCCCAGGGTCACACAGCTAGTGTCCGAGGCTGCATTTGAACCCGAGGTCTTCCTGACTCTGTGCACTGTGGCGCCCCCCCAGCTGCCTCAGTACCAACCCATTTTTGAATGGCTTTGTTTCTTTGCTGTGGGTGTCTTAGGGTAGGAGGTGAAAGAAAGTTGGGGGGCCCAGAGCCAGGATTCTGGGGCTCGGTGCTGTAGTGGGTCGGCTGGTTGTTTTAACTCCAGGTTCACTTATCCACAAAGATCAGATTAACAGAGAAATCGCCAAGTTTGCATTTCAGCTGAGCCTCCAGACAAGGCCGACAAAGCTCCAGAAGAGAATTTAGGATCATAAGAAAGTAGCCCGGAACAGGGGAAGGACAGTTATCCTCAGAGTCAGGAAGACCTGAGTTCAAGTCCCACTTCCAACCGATATTAGCAGTGTGACCTCGGACAAGTCACTCGTCTACGAAATACCCCCTCTAAGGTTATAAATGGCACAGGACACGGCACTGACAGAAAAGGGAGTTTTCTTTGCCGGGAGTCCCCTCCCTCCTGCTCCTGGAACAAGACATTTCATCTCCAGACTCCAGGCGCTTGCACCAGCTGCTCCCTAGGCATGAAATGAAAAATCTCCCTCCTCATCTCCACCTCCTACAGGAAGCCTTTCTTGATCTCCCTGAATGCTGGTGCCTTTCCCCAGTGGCTGTCTCCAGCGGATCCCATCTCTGTTTCGTTTGCACATAGCTTTGTGTGTTGTCTCCCCCATTAGACTGGGAGCCCCTTGAGGGCAGCAACTGTCTTGCCTGTCTTTGCATCCTGGCTTGGCACAGTGCCTGGCACATAGTAGGTGCTTAATAAATGCTTAATGACCGACTGATGACATCCAAGATCCAAAGAAACACAGAACCCTAGACTAGTCCTCCTATCTCCGTCTTAAAGGACGGCCATTATGAACCAGGAGAAACCAAGGACAGTCATGATTTCCCCTCCAGGCTCATACTCTGGTCTTACTCCAAATAACACGACAAGCCCGCTACTCTTTAGTGTTGTTGTTGGGACTTTTTTCCCCCTATAGGCAAGATGACTCAGGCTCTGGACTAAGGTAAATTAATGCCACACAATTACTCACTCCCCATTTTCTAATTACAAGTGTAAAATATTCTGCATCTCTTAAGGGGAAACACACATCTGTTTATCTATGAAATTTATTTAGTGATATGTTCTATCCCCTCCCCCCCAAAAAAAAGGAAAGAAACAAAGGAGCATTTAATGAGGGAATTTCAAATTTCATCCTATCTGGGAATGGAAAGCTCCACATTCACCAGAGCACTAAGGAAAGACAGTGTTGCCTAATGGTTAGAACCCTAAAACTGAAGTCACTCAGTTAGGCAACTAGCATCTTTAAGCTCATACCATGCCCTGTGCTAAGTGAAATCCAACCTTAGACACTTAGGAGCACTTTAAGGTTCAAGAAATGTTTTCTGTGTTATTTTGTTTATTCCTCTCCGCTTTCAGATCCAGCTACATTGTTATTGTTATCACCATCACCATCATCACTGTTGTTATTTACTGTTATTATCATCATTAACTGTATCATTATCATTATTGTTTATCATCATCATCATTACGATTACTCTAAAACTGCACTAGGTTTCCAAAATAGTTTTGGGAGCCAGCTTTAAAAGCTGCAGATGGTCACTACATTAAGTGGTAATGAAAACGAACTTCTCCAAAGTCAAAACCCTGTCCATTCTTCTCCAAGTCCACCATGACTCCCCAGCAACCACCTACGAGCCCCCTTGCCTTTGTCCTGATCCTTAGGACGAATCTTCTACTCACATGGATGCAGATCTCATAGTCAATGTAGGAGTGCCAGAAGTCTTCCTTCTGAATGCGAGGATCCCGGACCCAGACGCTCACGAACTCCTGGGAAGTCATACCAAGCCAAGGAATTTGTTTTAGAATAAAAGGGGCCTTGAAAGCCTAAAGAAGGAGTGACTTGGGCAAATAAAACAGGAGACAGTGTTTCAACCCTCTAGAAGGAGAAGTGAGGAGATGTGACTCATTGACCGTCAACACGCCTGGGAAAATTCCTGCCCACAGAGTCAGCCTACCCAAAAAGGAACAATTTTTAGAGTAAGGCAATGAGGAGATTTTAGTTTGGAAACAGTTGGGATTTCTCCCCCAAATTTCATTCAATTCAACAAACCTTTAGATAGTCATATCGGATTTGTTAACATATAAGAAATAATTTCAAGAGGGTATTTCTATCCTCACCACCATCACCCCCCCCCCCCCCCCCCCGCAATAGAATAGACACACCTTGAGGACAGGAACTGATCTATTTTTGTCCCTGTATGCTTAGCACCTAGCATAGTTTGACACATAGTAGGTGCTTAATAAATGTTTGCTAAATTGGATTGGATTGTAATGATCTTACGACAAGGGAAAGGGCTGAAATCCCAGATGGCAACAGGGAAGCGGCCCCCAACTAAGGTCCCAGATCCATCCTTTCCTTCGACAGAGAATCTTACCTGGTTTGACCCCTTCTCTAAGGCAGGAGTTTCCACTCAAGCCTCTCAGGAAAACATTTTTGCACAGATATACACTGATGTGTGTACCTATACTTTTAAATTATACAATATAATAACACACTATTAATCGTGTATGCTAAAAAAAATACAAAAATAGACATTTCAAAAGAATGAGATAAAAATGAAATAGCATTTTATTTGGGAGGTAATGGGGAGACACTGGAATTTCCTGGGTAGGAGAATGACCTGCTCTTTGGGAAAATCACTTGGGCAGGGGAGTGGAAGGTAGGCTGGAGGGGTGGGGAAAGACTGGGAGCATGGAGGCCGGTTTTTGTCTTTCTGTTTCCAGCATCTAGCAGCACCTGGCACATAGCAGGCCCTGAGAGATCGTCCCATGAAGAAAGAGGGCATCCTCAAAGCCTGGTTCTACTTGACCAGATGAGAGCCTTGGAGACAGATTCTGGCCACGGGTGACTGAAGGCCAAGAGGAAGGTCCCCTTCCTGTCCATAGTGACTGAGTAGATGCTGAGGCTCAACCATCCCCCTCCACCTCTTTTCCCCTTTCCAATAATGAATCCACTCAGGACCTTTTTGCGCTGTCTGCCAAGGAGGAATGAAGGGATGGGAAAATGGCCTAATTCAACCTCAATTCACAAATATTAAGGAGAATACGTGTCAAGTCCTATGTTCAACAAATCAATGGCATGAGAACAGGAGTGAAGAGGCAGGGTTAGGCGACAGCTGTCAAGAAAAAGATCTGGAGGTTCTGGTGGGCCACAAGCCACAGAGAAAGGAACTTATGAAACCTCAGGTAGCATTCCCAGAGGTGCAGCCTCCAGGGAGAAGGTAGGCCTGGAACTCTGCCCTGCACAGGCCCCCAGGTCACATTCAGAGTTCACACTCTACAGCAATCCTGTAATTCTACAATTCAACTTGGGAAAAAAAAAATTGACTGGGGCCTTTCCCTTCTTTCTCCAGCTTGTGAAATACACAAGCCAGGCCCTGGCCATGTGGTTTGTGGTTAGCCGATGATTAGACATGTGAGGAAGTAGGTGATGACCCATATGAGTCAGGACAAGAAGAAAAAGCCAGGAGGAGGGCTCACATCTCAGAGATGGGCATCCCCCACTTCCTCCCAGCCAGATGAAAGAATGTGTTGGCATCTCATTAACAATAAGGGTAGGGATAATATAATCCAATCAACGTTTATTAAGTTCCTACTGTGTGCCAGGCACAGTGCTAAGCTAGGGGATACAATTAATAAGAAGAAAGTCAGTTCCTGCCCTCAAGAAGCTTACAATCTGATGGGGGAGACTGAGGCAGGAAAGGAAGAGGCATAAAGACTGCATTTGTGATATCATAGATACAAGAACTCTCTACCAGAGCAGGTCAGCACCATCTAGAGCACCACAGAGCTTCGTTGAGGGTCACCCAGCCAGAGGCACACTGCCTATAATAATAGTAGTAGTAGTAGTAGTATTAATAATAATTTAATAATGTTACTAATATCAGCTTATATTTGTAGCATATTGTCTCCTTTTCAAAGCAATATTAACCACCCTATGACCATCATTAAAAAGAGGTGTGAGATTTTCAGAAATTTTAAAGTCACAAGAGCAAAATAACTGAATTTGAGTCAGAGGAACCTTGAAAAGTGGGGGGAATCAAGTTGGGAGGGGACTAAAAATGCAATACTTTTTAAAAAATCATACTAAAAAAGTTACGTTCTTATTCTAATCTAGGTTTTTAGCTAAATCATTATGTGGATCTTGCCCATAATACTACCCTGTTTGGACTCATATTGAGAAACAGAATTTATTCACAGAAAAACTACAAATTAGCTTTTAAATTATTCCATTTGTCCCACGGAGACACCGACAACGACCAGTTATTGAGCTCAAAAAAACAAAATTCACCTCGATTTCTCTGCCACCACCTCTCTCTCCACACTCCCCATTTATGAGAAAAAGGCTTAGGAAAAAAGCTTAATTTCCTCCAATGTCAAGATGAAAGAGAAAGCATTCATTTCCAGAAAAGAAAGTGAGAAGAGAAGGAGATGGGGAGAAAAATCAATGTACTACCTGCAACTTAAATAAGTACCCGTGGTTTCCTGTCACGACTGCAGTTTCTGCTTCCCTGAGTCAGTCAATTAACTTCTGCCTGACTCAGTTTCCCCAACTGCAAAACGGGGATAATATCAGCACCTACCTCCCAAGGTTGTTGTGAGGATCAAATGAGATCCTAATTGTAAAGTGCTTAGCCCAATGCCTGGCACATAGTAGGTGCTAAATAAATGTTGGCTCTTAGGCAGAATGAGACACATTTTTTGAACATGGACAAGATCGGAATTTGTTTCATTTGGCTGTGCAGACCAATTACAAGGGTTTTGCTCTTCTCCTTTCCCTTCTCCCTCAGTGCAGTGGTGGAAGAGAAAAAAATAATTTTTATACTTAAAAATAACAAATTTAATTTTAAAATGAAATATGCCAGCTCCCACCCTCTACCTCCAGGTCTCCATCATGTTTCTGAGAAACTGTTTGCATGCAAAGGAATAGTATTATACATAAGAAATGAAGACGAAAACTTGGAGAAATTTGGGGGATGATTGTATGAACTAATGATACAGAGAGAAGTAAGCAGAGCCAGGAGGGCACTTTACACTAGAACCCTAATAACATTAAAGGAAAACAACAGAGAAACACTTCAGAGCACCAGTCACTGACGGTGACTTCAGGGGACCAATGCTGAAGCATACCTCCAACCTCTAGGCAAAAAGGTGGCGGACTACAGGTGCAGAGTGAGGCAAACACAGATATGGTCCGTGTATTTTGGGGGGGGGGTGAGGCAATGGGGATAAGTGACTAGTGTTAAGTGTCTGCTCTGAGGCTGGATTTGAACTCAGGTCCTCCTGACTCCAGGCAGGGTGCTCTAACCACTGCGCCACCTAGCCACTCCTGGTCCACGTGTTTCTTTTTCTGTACTTACTTGAAGGTCAGAAGGCAGATATCCAGTCCAACCCATACAACAGGACTCCCCACTGTAGCATCCCTGACCGGTAGCCATGTTTGAAAACCCCTATTCGTTACAAGGGAAAGGTCCAGAGCTGAGGGAGGGAGTCATTGCAGAGCACCCCTGATGCTTTTTTAAGTGAGCTTCACCAGAGCATCTTTTAATAGCTCTCATTTTCAGGTCATTTTCTAGAGCAGATGACTGCCACCCTCCGAGCTAATGACTAACCGCCCTTTCCCTGGCTTGGGTCAGTGGTTCTGCCCACTTGTCCTGGGCCTCCCCATGACTCCAGGAACAACTTTGACTGTGACTGCCCACACAGTACTAACAGCAGACTGGTTTCCATCAGCACTAAGAGAAGGCTAAAGGGCACACTCTGACAAGGTCAGGAGGCTGTCCTCACTTCAGCTGGCTCATGTTGCAACCGAGGCAGGCTCTATCCTCTTGCTTCTGCCTTAATCTCCAGAGAAAGAGGCTGTCCGAGGACCCCTGGGGGCAATGTGCTCCTCTGAGTTAATAGGCTGGTTTTACCAACCAGGCACTGAAAACCACTTGGGGGATGGCACATGTACCCACTCACATTCTCAGAAAGAGGAGTCACCATGTGGGGACCTCCATGGCCCCACTATCCATGGATCGCCTCTTCTCTGCTCTCATCCCCTTTGACCTTCCTCAGCACTCGACCCTGCCGACCACCTGGGCTTCTGAAGGCTTTAGTCTGGGGTCTCTAAGACAATTCCTGGTTCTTCTCCTATTTTTCAACCCTCCTTTATCTCTTTCACCATCTCCTGGAGGTTCAAACTCAATTTATTCAAGGTGCCACAAGGCATTATCTACTTTGGGCTGGAAGGATAAGGTGTTCTTTCGAAGATATACCTCAATCTCCTCAACTATAAAATGAGGCGGTTGGAACTGATGGCCATTTTGGTCCCTCTAGGTTTTAAATCTAGGCTTTTATGACCCCCTAATGTCTCAGATCTCCTAACTTTCCCCCCCATTTCCAGGAAAAACTCCAGACAACTGAGTCTAGAACACCATCCAACTCACAGGCCCTTCAGGAATGACTGCTGATGCAGTCTGGAGCCGGTCTCAAGTTTATCTCTTTTGCAAAAATCTCAACTTTTGCAAAAGTTGTCTGCAAAGATAATGCAAACCAGAGACAGTGTGGTCTGGGAGATAAAGAGCTGACCAGGAAGACCGGAATTCGAGGTGATGCCAGACACATTCAGGCCGGTTGTGTGGCCCTGGACAAGTCATATTTCAAACATCCTGTTGCCCCAAGCCAATGGATAGAGGCCAGCCCTGGAGTCAGGAAGATCTGAGTTCAAATCTGGCCTCAGACACTTTTTAGCTGTGTGCCCCTGGGCAAGTCACTGAACTCTG